AAATTGACTTTTTAATGAAATTTAATTTTGCCACTAATTTTGATAAATTGATACTTAATTTTGTTTAATGGAAACTAACGGTAATTTTGTGTTAAATCTAATAAACACCTTTAAATGCATTTTTAAAAAGTCTGTACCGTATTTATAAATATGGGGAATTGTATTTTATTTTGAAACTTAATTTGCAATTAAAATTTTTTATTTAAATTGTTTGCTATACTAATTGTGTGAATGAATTGCGCGTTTCGCAGGGGAAAGTGATCCCCGGCGTGAGAATACCGGACACACCGCTGACCATACGTTTCCGTCCAAATAAAGTCCAAAAGTAACCCAATTATGACCCAGAGTTTAGAGTCCAACGATTGCTTGCTATGTGGACTGAAATTTATAAATTATGGCAACGATTACAATGTTTGTTGTAATAAAAACTTTTTTTTAATTATGATTTAAATGTCGACATTAATTACTTAAACGCAAAAGTTCTCACAAATAATTTAATACAAAACAAAACAATGATAAGTAATGTGTGTGTAATAGAAAAAAGGAAAGGCATGTTAGGGCCGGCACTGTTCGTGATAGGGCTCGAACGTGCGGTTATCCCTCCAGGAGGGGGGCATAAAGTTCTGGAGCCGACAATTGCATTTACGACACGGCGCTGAGAATAGATTCGTATAACTCTTGAGCCAAGTCTGTCCACCAAAAGACAAGAAAACAAATCAAACATCAAAACCAATCACAACCTCAACTCAAACACCAATTCATACCAAATAGGTCTTGAGGGCGACGTCGCAGTGGACGGGCGAGTAGTAGTGAAGCATAGCGGCGTTCGCGTGCTCCGACACCTTCCGGAACACCTCGTACCGCGACTCCGACCATATGTCCAGTCGTTCCAACTCGAGTGCGGCGGCCGCGGCATTGGAGGCCGCGTCGGGGAAACGCCGCAAACGCTTCGCATAACTACTATCATAGTTGGGGTCGTCGAAGGTCTCGTCGATGCCCTTCACCACAACCCACTCGATCAGCAGACCCCGCAATAGGATGACAGCCCTCAGCACACGCGGTATCGTCACCTTCAGCAGAGTTGGTGCGCCAAACGGTCGCACCACTTCGATGGTCAGGTCGGGCAGCACTCGCTGCAGGTTCGCGATGAAGTTGTCGATCTGCTGGGCGTTGATATTGTGCCCATTGGGTGGGCGCCGCTGCGGGCGGCCCTTCACGTAGATGACGGGTGTCTGCGATCTGCGCAACGAGTTCTGCTGCAAGAGTGTGGCCGCGAACGACGAGTACTCAACCATTTTGTCGCTCCACCGGTAGGCCGATATCATGTCGGCGTAGAGATTGGTTTTGTCGTAATGCGGGTCCTGTCCCAAGAGGGAGGAGTTGCCGAGCGATATGTTGACGGGTCCGGCGTTCAACGGTGTGGTGAGTAGAGTGCACGCCGTCTCCAACTCGCGGAACCTGCTGTTCACCGACAGCAACAGTGTCTGCAAGTCCTGTAGCGCCTGATTGGCGGCCGCCTCCGATGGCGGCGATGACGAGCCGGTGGTGGAGGCGTTGGCAGCGGTGGTCGTCGCCACCGCCGGTGCTGTACTGGCGGTGACATTAGCACCGGTAGTAGTAGTGGTTGTGGTGGTGCTGTTGCTGCTGGTGGTGGTCGCAGCGGTGGTCGTGGTGTTGATCGGTGTCGAGTAGTTGTCTTCGGCGGGCGAAGACTTATCGTTGTTCACAACGAGCGGACAGTCGGCCAAACACTTGAAGACATCGCCGACAGTACAGCGCAAGAGTTTGACGGCTTTGAGCGCCGAATGGACGGCGTCTAAGTTGGGGCTATCGGGCAGCTGTTGGTTCATGTCGTGCGGTGGGAACCAATTGGTGACACGAATTGTCTTCAAAAGCCAAACACTTCGGCAGACAGTCGTCGACTCGGATGACAGTCACGTGACTACGAGTCTGTGTTTTCGTAGCGTAAGTCTCGCCCATAAATAACGTGCCCTTTGTTTGCCTTTGTCTGGCGCTATGAACACTCGCAGCCATTATATGCTGACCGAAGTTATGGGCCTTTTATTAGTAATAAATACCAGTGAATAAAGGCATTCATATACCAGTAAAAGGTTTGCTATTTTCAACCACTTATACGAGGTTTTGTACATTGAGTTTGAAGTGCATGTGTTGTCTCTTCAGAGCTGATCCGCTCGACAGACAATACCTCTGAAGACCTGAAGACATATTTGACCGCAAAATATATCCACACCTTCGGGACGAGTGAAGACAATAATGTCGGCCGACGAAGACATGCCATCGGACGACGAGAAGCCGTCCACTCGTCTCCACCACAACAACAACCACAGCAACAGCGGCGGCACCGGTAGTGGTGTCGGCGGCGGACACCCGGCCCACGAGCCCACCCCTGGCGGGGGCAGCGGTGGCGGTGGCCCTCAGGACCCGGACGTGGATGTGGGCAGCGATGGCGAAGAGGATCCCACGGGTCTCGAAGGGGCGGCCTTTCAGTCACGGCTACCGCACGACAAGATGACGGCACAGGAGGCGCAGGCCTTCCCGGACGTGGCGAACGGCGCCCCCTCTTCAGCCAAGATCTTCCTCCACGTCCGCAACCGAGTGCTGCAGCTGTGGATCGAGAACCCGAAGACTCAGCTGTCACTGGAGTCGACACTCCCGCAGATCGAGGCGCCGTACAATTCGGACGGCCCTCTCGTGATGCGGATCCACTCGTTCCTCGAGAGGAATGGCTTCATAAACTTCGGTGTCTTCAAGCGCCTAAAGCCGTTGCCCGTCAAACGTCACGGCAAAGTGATTGTGATCGGCGCCGGTATCGCCGGTTTGATAGCCGCCCAACAGTTGGCTCAGTTCGGTATGGATGTGCTGGTGCTGGAGGCGAGGGATCGCGTGGGCGGCCGCGTTGTGACCTTCCGGAAGGGCAACTACATCGCCGACTTGGGCTCGACGGTGGTGACCGGTTTGGGCGGCAACCCCGTGGCCATCATCAGCAAGCAGATCAACATGCAGTTGCATAAAATCAAGCAAAAGTGTCCGCTGTATGAGTCCAATGGGAATACCGTTCCCAAAGACAAGGACGAGATGGTGGAGCGCGAGTTCAATCGGCTACTGGAGGCGACCAGTTATCTGTCGCATACGCTGGACTTCAATAGCCTGAACGGGAAGTCCGTGTCGTTGGGTCAGGCGCTCGAATGGGTGATACAGTTGCAGGAGAAGAGTGTCAAAGAGAAACAGATACAGCACTGGAAGGCCATCTCCGACCTGCAGGAGAAGCTCAAGTCGAATCTGACGCGAATGCTGGCGCTCAAGGAGCGCGTCGAGGCGCTGTCCAAACTGCACCGGGAGCTGATGGACACCAGGGGTCTGAAGCCGGACATCACCAAAGAGTTTGTGCTGCGCTCGACGGCCAGAGACCTGTCTGCCGCCTGTCGTCAATGGGATCAACACATCGACGAGCAGAAGGAGATCGAGGAGAAGCTCCAGGAGTTGGAGGCGTCGCCGCCCAGCGACGTGTACCTGTCGTCCCGAGATCGCCAGGTGCTCGACTGGCACTTCGCGAACCTGGAGTTCGCCAACGCCACGCCCCTCAACAACCTGTCCCTCAAGCACTGGGACCAGGACGACGACTTTGAGTTCTCCGGCAGTCACCTAACGGTGCTCAACGGCTACTCGTGCGTACCGGTGGCGCTGGCCGAGGGACTGGACATTAAGCTGAACACAGCCGTACGCTCCGTGCGTATAACGGCGACGGGCGTGGAGGTGAGCGCCTACAACCCGCGGCTCAGCGCCACCAACTCGAGCACATCGCTCACGAACCCGTTGATCACACACAGGGGCGACGCCGTGCTCTGCACACTGCCTCTGGGGGTACTCAAGCAGGCGGTGCAGCCAAACAGCGCCGGCACCAGCGGTAATGTGGTTCAGTTCGTGCCACCCCTCCCGGAGTGGAAGGTGGCGTCCATACAGCGGCTGGGCTTCGGGAACCTTAACAAAGTGGTGCTCTGTTTCGACCGCATCTTCTGGGACCAGGACTCCAATCTGTTCGGTCACGTGGGCTCCACCACCGCCTCCCGGGGCGAGCTGTTCCTGTTCTGGAGCCTGTATAGGGCGCCGGTACTCATGGCGCTCGTGGCGGGCGAGGCGGCCGGCATTATGGAGAACGTGTCGGACGACATCATCATCAGCCGGTGCCTCACTGTCCTGCGCAGCGTATTCGGCACGACAGCCGTTCCCAATCCCAAGGAGACGGTGGTTACGCGATGGCGGGGCGACCCCTGGTCTAAGGGCTCGTACTCTTTCGTGGCGACGGGTTCCTCGGGCAACGACTACGACCTGCTGTCGGCGCCGGTGGCCGCGCAGTCACCGCAGCCTATGACTGGCGGACAGCAGCCG